AAAAAAACATAAAAATAATAAAAGAGTAGAAATAAATAAATGAAAAAAATCACGAAAAAGGTAATAACGGTCATCAAGCAATATGTCCAGATGCGCAGTGAATATGCGGCTGTGCTATACAAATATACAAACTTTGTATGGGTATACACAAATCTAGCGACAACAAATAGTTGCAGGCAACACAAAGCCCTCACTTGGCTGCATAGCAAATGCTGATTGGCAAAAAGTCGTAAAAGTTACTTAGAAATGGTTAAAATTGTAAATTTTATTATACATTTTTATAGTTTTTCTGCTTCTTCTACGTTTTTTGTTCGTTGCACACAACAGCACTGTTGGGTTCTGCTTTTACGTCTTTTCGTTCTACTCGCAACAGTGGTATGCTGAACAAAGAAAAGGAAAATCTTTTAACTGCTTCTGCTCAGAGTCCATCACTCGCACATTCATTCACTCACTCGCTTGCCAGTCAGCTTGCAAAAGGAGTACATAAATTATCCAACGCACCAAAAATTGACAGCTGTCAGTTTAGCGCATAGACTTAATGTGTCACACATGCGTCAAAATGGCAGTAAAAAGCCAGCAACTCAGCAACTCAGCAGCGCAGCATCAGCCGCATCAAAAATGAAACTGGAAAACTTGGCATAAGCAGTCACTTTACTGTTGTATTTTACATTTTTCGCTCTTCATGAGAAAATAACCAAATTGGGCTGTCAGACATTCATGATTTGACGCAGACAGTTCTTTTTTTATCTCTTTATTATTATCAATGATTAATATTGTATTTAAAAATGAAAAAAAAAGAAGATTTATGTTTTAATCAGATTTGTATTTACTCCTTATTGGTGTGCCACTTTCCGTTCCCTCTCCTCCGCTCTCTCACTCTCGTACTATTTACTCAAATTAGATGCGTGGGAAATACTGAAGAATTGATTGAAATGTGCGTCGTCTCTTTCGGTTGATTGAAATGTCAAAGTTCGTTTGCCGGAAGCCTTTACAACAACTAATACCAAGCGAAATGTTAAAAAAGATCGAATTCAAAACTCTTTTGCTCTTTTACTACCCAATAAAAAGTTTGAATCGAGATTTGAGGCAAAATTGTTGTTAGTTTTCTGAAGTCAAAAAATCATCCAGGCAGATTTCCGTTAAGCGCTCGTCGTAAACTGTAAATCTTAATTTGTTGATAAATGGTTTTTTAGACAGTTTGGAAATTGTGTTTACACAAACAATCGCCGAACTTTAATGGCTTGTAAATCATTAGCGTACAATGGCAGCGGCGCAGATTGTAAAGGAATTTGTTACCGGATATAAATCTTGTGTAGAATTTTTTTGTTATAAATTTCGGAATTGTATTTGATTGCTGTGCGGCCTATAGCAAATGCAATAGAGCAATTATGAGTCTACATGGGGTGCTCTATGACGCCAATATGTCTGGGAAATCCGCCGAGCGTAGCTGGTTTAACGTGATATGCGTTGTGTGGCGTTGCTACCCTAACCTCAATAGAAAACGAACAGCAAATCTCGATTATAAACCAATACGTTTTCTCAGCAGACTTCTGTTCAGAAACTTTAGCACGAGATGGTTCCATTTATGGACTTATGTAGATACCATCAGACTACGTGTGTGTCGGCTTAACTTATTGTTGTTTTCCACTATTACCTGATGACCTGCGAAGGTCATATGTCGATTTAATAGCAGAACCGTGCTCTCGTAGCGAAAACGGAAAAACTGTTTATTATTTCCTTATTAAGTTTGGATAGTTTTGGATGGTTGTTCACACCAGAACTCGAATCTTGGTCTTCCCATCACGCAATTCTAACTATTGTAATTTTATCGTTGCCGAAAACATTGTCAAGCCAGATTATCTAGATGTCGATATAGCCATTTGGTGAACACAAGCCTATCCGATTGTGTACTTCCATAGTTATTCGATATAGCATAACAGAACAATTTCAACCCTCGGAAAGTGTTAGCTGAATTTGGTTGACGCAAAGATGTCCTGACTGTTGACGAATAGGATCGCCTCCAGCCCGGAGTTTATTTTGCACGCATCTGCAGGACGAGTTGGTATCTTTTTCACCTCCTATATACTTTTTCCAACGTCTGAAAGGCATCCTTACCTACTAAAAGAGAGGTAGATTTTATTTTACTTGTTAACATCATCATCGTCTTACTAGCAATCAGGAGTAGGTCAATTCTCGATCTCTGCTCAGCAGCTGAAGAAATTGTTTAAAAATGTCGAGACTTTGGACATTTCAAACAGCGAATGATTTTCAGGTTTATTTTATTAGATTCCACTTGGCATTTCAACAAGTTGAACACTTTGCGTAAATTTGAAAAAGAAAAGACAAGCAAACAAAACCAGCTGTCCGAAAAATTCTAGAAAGCTCATACGAGTATGCCGAGCAGCTTAAAAATGTTCAAACAATTTTTGAAAATTCTAAATGGGTTTACTGAGACGAAGTTATGGAGACGAGAAAAGAAGATTATAGAAATCATTTAGTGATTTGGTGGGCAAATTAATACCTATCAGTATCTAATACTAGGCAGTTTTGAAGAATGAGCTATAAGAGAAAATGTTACATAAGCTGAATAAATAATGAGTTAAGGCGTTGCAGATTACATAACCGACATTAAAGACCAAATACAATTTCAATCAGATGAACTGGAAGATTTCAAGATTTTGATGAAAATTGAAGAAAAATTTAACAATGGAAAATTAGAAATCAACGTTTACGATATTAAGAAAGAAGAAGAGAATTAAACGAAAAAAAAAAATACAAATGAATTTAAGGATGCACAGACTGCTAGGGTGCCTGCACGCTCGCATACACTCTTACAACAACGAAACCCGAAATATATTTTAGAAAGAAAAAAATAAAGAATTGTGCGCTGCTGATGCCAGCAGGTACATGCCATGCATGCGTCGTGGATTACACAAGGAGGCATATCAAGTGCAGGCAGTTGTAAGGGAATTAGACAATTAAGGATGAGCGGCTCTATTGTGTTATGTGATAGCCGAAACTCTCAAGCGAATGTGATCAGTGATCTATTGCGTGCGCAGGAGTTCAAATGATGACAGACAAAAATTTACAATGAAAAAAAGGTAAAATCATAAGATTTTTGAATATTTGATAACTTTTTCGAATTAAAACTTCTACACTAAGTTAAATTATAAACTTGCACCGACACTTCTAAGATTTTGAAAATCCTACGAATTATATTTCAAATAAGATAATTTGCTATATAACTGTTTTTTTTTAAATATGCAGTTAAGAACAAAATATTCTATATATTGTATATATGAATTATTCGCTAATTATAGACACCCACTAGTTAAAGCGACACAAATTGGACTACAATAACGTATAGCTAACAGGTTCATGTGTTGTATAGCAACTATATATCATATATAGATAGTCGAAAATAAAAATTGTGCTCATCAGATTACTATAGCATATAGCTACCATACAAATGAAAGTTCAAAAACAGAATTATCCTCCGTAACTCTTTCGAAAAGGTAGCTACCAACATTAAAATTCTTATACGATCTATCGCTTGTATGTAGATAGCTGATATAAAAAATTATCGCAATCGAACTAATATAACATATGTCTGCCATAGTAAATTTTTTTCAAAAACAAGATTTTCCGTAATAACTGCAACAAATTGCTAGCTGGACGGTTGAAATTTTAGGCACAATTTACTAGTTCTATGAGTACTACAGTGTATAAAAATTGTCTGAATCGGTTAACGATAAGATATAGTGGCCATACAACTTATGTTTCGAAAATAAAGTTATTAACTTAAAATCAGCCGGAAAACAACTAATGAGTCCTCTACTTTTCTCTTAAAAAAAAAAATATTTCAGCTTGTCACAACTCACTTTTCTATCATAAACAATATCACGGTAAGTAAAAAATACTTAGAATAATTAAAATTTGATAAGACAACAGCGTTAACGCCTAACTTTTCCATTTGAGGTTACCACTTGAACCTGCTGACATGGATTTGCGCTTAGTTGTATTTTTTATCACTCAGTTCTTACCACGCACGCCTTTCATCATCAAGTCAGCGTAACCGCCTCATATCAATCACCGCAATTTACTTAAATTAAATTAGTTTTCCTTTTTTCACTTAACAACGACAAACAACCACGAAACCGTGAATGACACAAAGAAAACTTAAATAATAATTTAACACTTTGCGCTTTTCGCACTAATAAACAAATTAACACAATGATGTGGCAAGTGAAATGACAGAAAAAGGTATGCAAGTAATTATGCGTGCTCTATGTATGTATGTATGTATGTATGTGTGTGTGCTTTGAATTTGTGGCTTAAGAAATTTGTGTGCCTTTGACGTTGGTGTGTGGTAGGGGCAGCGGTAGTGTACGCGGTGAGCCGATGAGAAAATGGCAGAGAGCGTGAAAAATGAAATTAATAAATCCTAATATTTTGTTATTGTTGTTGTACTTTTTAAAGGCACAAAGTGAAATAACGGCAAGTCATCATGACTTGGCATAAAGTAAAGTGCACATACAAATTAGTATTAATGAGCATACAAACATGTATGTATGCATACATATAGACAGGCCGTATGTATATGCCACATACGCGTATGTAAATTGAAGAAAATTTTTAGGCTTACTTTGAAAGTAAGAAAAAATGAACTAAATCATTGCCGGTGTTTTGCTTGATGGCACACGCACACGCACACGCACACAATACAAACATACATTACAAAAAAACACTTACATATGTACATACATATATACATATATATATGCCTCGTACTAAGCAAACTCTACAGCGGCCACTCGACCAGTCTTTCCAGCTCAAAGCGTACAAAAACTCACTCCATCCACACAGTCAAATTAAGAAATAAAATCGTTAAAAAAATGAATAAAAATTAGAAAAGGAAAAAAATAAGAAACTCGTAAAGTAACAAATTTTGCTTGAAAAAAAAAAAAAAAATCTTTGAAAAATTTGTTAAATCATTTTAATTTCTTTTACACTCGCTGAACTCGAATTAAAATTAAAATTTCGAACGTTTGTGCGTTATTAATCTGCCTGAAGTTACTGGCATTTGTGTGCGTGCGTGTGTGTGTGCGCGTGTACGTGGGTGTTAAGTGAAAAGTAATAAAAAAGTTATATGTAACTGCATAGGGGGCGCGCAGAGTGGCAGTTGGAGAAAAGAAAGTAATAAACTAATTTGTTCCACTTCAGTCAGTTGCCCAACAATGATAAGCAGATTTGATGCTACATACATACTTACATACTCAGATATTTTTCATTAACTGCCAGATATGCATGCATTCAAAAAAATATTTATTTTACAATTTATATGCATTGAAAGTGCACAGAAATTACCTGAAAGAGATTCGCTAAAAGAATTCGGAGAAAGGTTAATGCATTTCTTTCAGAAGAATATCCACATAAATGGCAACAAAGTGGTTTCAATACATTAACAGGGGAGCCTCATGTACATATACATATATATAGAAATGCATAAAAAGATGTCCCATTAAAAACAAGACTACTCAAAGCAGTTAATCGCAATCAAGCGATTAAAGCTGTTACTTTTGTGTCCTAATCGCAATGCATTGGGGAAGGTTGAGGTTTCCCAGAGTCTGATCTTCAAAGATGTGGCTACGAGCAGACGTCAATCGTGAAGCGAGGTTTCACGCTGGCCTTGGAATCCGGCAGATAGAGAAGAAATAGTCCAATGAAATAAGAAACATAAATCTCGGCTTAAGACTTTGTAACTTTTTGTAAGTATCCCAAATTTAGACGCATGCACCAGAAACATTTGGTACCTTAATCGCGTTAGATGAGAGCAGTTCCTTGTGACTTGTAGTGGGAAAGAGACTGTGACGCCAAACACTATATTTAATACCGATGGACAACTGCCTTGCCATAATCCGCATTGACGGAAGATTTTCCAACCCGCCGGTGACTTATACATACATCTGACGGAAGGTGGCAGCATGGTACACAGCTGTGCAACCCTATTTTAGTCAGCTCAGGTAAGTGCGCTGCTACTACCACGATGTCAAGTCATCTTTCCGAAAATTCAGTCCCTCCGATAAGACCTCCCTGAATGGGCTGATACCTGATCTAACTCGCCGGTACGTATATATATGTATATGTAGTAGCTACTCCAGCATAACAACAGTAGTAATAACGGTTTTAAGGAATTCAAACAGAGAGGTTAATAATTAATTTACCGGACAATTGATTCCATTGCAAAGCTTTCGACGAATATGACCGAAAGCTGAGAATTCAGGGCAAGAAAATTGAGAGGGATCTAAGCGTTATTGAGTTTACTATATAAATATGCAAGTTTTTTTTATTAGAAAAGAGATATATGTAATGCTCAGTCTAACTTACTAAAAACCGTTGTTGTCAATATGTAATATTTGAATTAAATTAAACACAATTGCAGAATGTTTTTTTAAAGAACATTAATATGAGTAATATTTTAATTAAGTGTGAGGAATACATATTCATATGCATATTTGTGAAAGGTCTATACCACATAAAAGTATGTATAGTGTAATGTCCGATGAAAGGGGCTTCTAATGAAATACTCTAATTCCTAATTCCTTTTCGCTTTGAGGCGATTGCAGCTCACTGAATACTTGCATTGCTTCCACTATTCTTTACCAACTCTTTAGTCATTATTTGTACTACTCCGATATTTTTATTTATTTAATTTTTTTTTCTACTTTATTTTTCTGGCCACTTTCACTCCCTGTAATTGCTTTGCATCCTATTAGGACTCTTTAATCCTCCTCTGCGTCCTTTCCTTCTGCCATATTATTATTGCAGCATTTTTTTTATCACTGCTTTGCCGTTGTTGTTATCTTTCGAAATTTGTTGCTGTTGTTTTTGCCGTTTATTCATACATACATACATATATAGTTGCCATTATTATAAATAGTATCTAGTAGATCCTGTCCATGTCACATTCCTTAAATTTCCAACATTCGTACATTCAATGGGCAATCCCTTTGCGAAATTGGTGGGGGAAGACATTCAGAACTATCTAAAAGGGCCTAAAATATCTCAAGGATATGAAAATATGTGCGTTTCGTGCGTACTTAAAGCGACTACTATTTTTTATTTTTTTTTATTCTTTTATTTTGTATTTTTCTCAAAAATGAGAGAAAATGCGATGTAACTGATAATAATGAATGGGACCAAAGGGTATCTTAAGCTTAACTGGGCAAGTTGCTATGCTACACAAATGCTTGCACATACATATACAATATGTATGTGTACATATGTGCACATATTACTTTATAAAGGTACATCCTTTGCATGTTTCTATGTCACGTTGTGCGTTATTTGCTCAAAAAGCACTCGCCCAGTGGCGAGCAAATACGCTTTGTGCACAGAAAATAGAGGAAAAAAGTTGCCTTTTACATGGCATTACGACTAGATACTGTGTGCTTTAGGTAGATATCTTACGGTGTATTATGTGACCTTTTTAAACAAGCATACGCACCCACATATATGTACATACACGTGTACACTTACGCATTAACTCTTAAATTATACATAAGGACAGTATGCCACAATGAAAATGAATAGAAAAGTTGTGATAGGCGAGCGACTGAAATTAGTTGAGGACCAGTAGAAAGAGAAGTAATTTTAGGTGTCGCTTTCCCTGGAAACAAATGCTTCACGAGTGGGGATCTATTGGGCAGGTATGTACATTCCAAGAGGAGCTCTTAAAGAAAAATTTGGAAATGCAAATAGACTGTGCTAGTCTTAATTTAAGACTAGACCGTTTTAAATGCGATATTGTACTAGTTATTTTGTGATTAGTATATGAACCAGTTCATATCTGATTAGTTATATAACTAGTTAATAAAAAATTTTTTCCCAACGAGTTCTACCAATTCTTTTATCCATCACTTTACCGGTATTCGTATGCTAAAGAAGTCATCAACAGAAGTCGTTCAACGCATTCGATGTGTACACATGCTCGTACGTACATATGCATATATTCGATATCTTCCAGCATGTCTTACGGGCTTTTAAAGGCATTTAGTATACATGAGTAGTTTTATCCAAAGAATGTATAGGCATATTGTGAAACCTTTTTGCACAAACGCAAATACTTTTCTACGCTTGATGGCCGCCTAGTTATGTGTGTGTGTGTGTATGTAATATGTATGTAAGTGCCAAGTGTGTGAAAGAACTGAATGGCTTGGAAGAAAACATATATGTTTAAGGGACATGAAAAGTTGGAAAGAAAAAAGTCACACAACAACACCATTTTGCCGCCAAAGTCAAATGAGGCAAAAATAGCTTGGAAGGAAATAAAGTTTTGTAGCAAATACATAAGCTGTATGTATGTAAGTATGTATGGAATGAACGTGTTAGGGTGGCATAATAAAAAATTCGGAAATGTAAATCAGTGTCGAAGACGAGTGAAAACATGAGCCAAGTGAAGCAACTAGTTCTTCCGTATGTATTCTAAAATTTAGTTCCAAGTTTAACTAGTTTTATAGAAAGTACTTTAAAAACTATTTAACACACATTTTCCAATTTTATAAGATATTCAAAATATAGGAAACAGCTGTTTTCTTTATTACTCTTCAAATCAGTCTTTTCTGTTGTACGCTAATACTTAATTACACCATACGCATATATATTTATATATGTATGTGCATAAAGGTATCGCTCTACATATTTGTTTACCCTTTTTTTCGCCTGAAACCTTTTTTGCTTGTTATCAAACATTTTGACGCCCTCCCCTTCTCGGCGCGCTCGCACTCTTCAATCACTTTTCAACTTTAAAATACACGTTAATTTGCTTGAACGTTCGAAAGGCATTAAACTGTTGTTTTCCAAATGCAATTAATTTCTTAATCAAAACTTTTACAATGCACGTGGAAAAGTTTTTAACATTTACACTAATACAAGCAAACACTCAGTACATGTCCTTGTGCACTATACATTCATTGGTATTTCGATGCTTTCAAGGATATTTACTCTTCTGTCTTACTTTCAAACTATTACACATCTCCATACATATTCCTCTATATGTGTGAGTGTGTATGTATGTGTGTGTGAGTGTTTGTATATGTGCAACGGCAGCGGTTTGTGCATGACAATGCCTGCTTCTTCTATTCCTTCGTCTTAGGAAAAGTTGTATCAAGTTTAATTGTCTATGTAATGGAAATAGTCATTAGACAGGACTTTACTCTCTTCGTTGGCCGATAGTCGGCTTGGTCGTCAGAGTTTTGCATTTAGTTACCAATTTATATACATACATATATATATATCCCTGCGGTTAATAGTTTTCTGTGTGCAGTTGTTCAAGTTTTGAATTACTAACATTTCAGAAAATCAAAATTCTTTTCAGATTTCTTTTGGTGCCTTAAATTTTGCATTTAAAATAATTAAAGAAATCAATTTCCGTTTAAAGCGAATAGTGAATGCTGAAAATTGCGGTGTTGAGTGTGAGTCGGAGGTTTTTATAAAAGTGTTATTATTATTATTATTATTTTACAGTTACAGTGTTACATGGAGGCCAATGAATCTGCGTGTTATTTGCTGTGTGATTTAATGTTTAATTGAAAATTTATAATCAGAGAAGTCGTCTCCGAAAGACGACTGGTGGTAGAAAAAAATTTTCCAATATTTTGGACGTCGCTCGATCCAGGACTCGATTCCTGGCCTTCCAAATAGCAGTACGCATTGCTCACAACTGGTCTATTTATTTAGTCGAGAAAAATTTATCACCTCAGTCGTTTCCGTGCTTTTGGACGATAATCTATGACACCAAGTAAGTTACCTTTTGTTCTTGTAGCTACTACGCCACCCGGACCAGAAAACCCAACTTATGTAATCACTAAAGAGTAGCCGCTGAGATCATCGAGGTCTTTATGTTGATGGAGGACTATTTGTCTGTTGCCTATTTAGTCCAAAGTATTGATGCGATCTTATGCCCCTGCCCTATCATATCCATATATTTCGTTTTCTTATTCAATCTGGAGAAATTGTAAGCAACGGCGCTGTAGACGACTGTAGTAGCTTATGTGCTTAGCTCTGCAGCTGTTTTGTTTATCATCATTGCAGGATTAAAGAAATTAGAAGTTGACAGTGGCTGGTTAAGGTCTTATGTAGAAAAAAAACTTGATCTACAGACTTCTTCTACAATAGCTTGAGCTCTAGATTCATTCACCGAATAGCCTCTCGGGAGCTGCTGCAGGAGCTGCTTATATGAGTCTATACTAAATTCAAACTGTGAGCTCACCTCGTAGACTCCAGTTGACTGCAAATCCTGCCTTCATGTTGAAAAATTGATTTTCTTAAAGTAAAGCTTTTTGCGAAGCGTAAAAATCGAAATTTGTAGTCTATAAGGTCCCCTCTGAGGTGTAACGTATCACGTTTTCTGTGTACTTATCTCATTATAAACTGTCTTATGCGTGCCTGCGCTACCGACAGAGAACCAACAATGAATTCGTTCATGCAAAGGATACAATATATATGTGTATTGGACTATATATGTTTGGGTGCATTTAAGCAAACAAACAAATGAGAGAAAGATGCTTCCAAGCAAAAGCGTATTTATGTATGTAAAGCTTACATTTGCTACCATGAGTGACGAAAGGAAAAAAGGACTAAATACCAGATTCCACTTCCTGGGGCGGTGTATTTAGAGCCTTTTTGACTTTATGAAAAGCTATCACTTTCTAATGCGCCAGCGGCCTTAGGCAACACTTGTCAACTACAGTTCGAAAACTAAAAAATAATTTTATTTTAAAGATTCAACTACAAAGCCATGCTGGGAGGAAATTTAAAATATGTATTTTTTGAAAAATATTTTATAACTAAAATCTCCAAGATTTTCGGTGAATTTATTTGCAAGCTCTTGTGGGAAGAGTGGAGTATTTTACAACTACCAAATGTAAATATGTGTATGAATGTTTGTCTATAGCTTCGTCTGTGTTCACTATTTGCCACGTTCGGTGTAGTGTGGCGGTTAAATCTCTGTCAGTCACGAACCACAGGCGTCACTCATATTTACCTGTATGTGCTGCGCCGAATGACAATAAAACTAGCAAATGATAAAGAGACACACATACATACGAGTCCCTGGCCAACACCACAAAACCACATAGCCCGAAAGGACATAGACCAAAATAAATGAAAGTTGGTGACGCAGCAGTACCAAAGCGAATGTACGAGTGTGCATGTGTGCAAATGTAAATGAGTTGGTGTTCCAATGAGTTTTGACTTGGTACAGCAGAGAGTGCGGACAATAACTGCCAGACCTACACATTTCACATTCGCCTGTCACAACACTCACACCAATAATGGCTAGAGTAACGGTGACCTGTGAAAAATTTGATTTGTCTGAGATTGTATTCCTCTGTAGTATGAAAACAGATATAAATATGTATATATAAACGAGTAAAGATTTACTAGTATGTGTAAAAAAGAGGCAAAAATTTATTTCAAAGATAGCAGCCAAAAATATTTAAAAACTCACTGAAAATAAATGCTTCAACTTAGCTGTGCCATGAGGACCATCAATTAGGTCTCGTGACTCGTTTTCCGTCTACTTATATTACCTTATAAGTTTGTTCAGGCCGCTTTGGCCACATAGAAATGTTACTCCGAGATTCCAAAATATGCTTCTACTGAGTCCAGAGCCTTTGGTTAATGAGAAAAAGTATTCTCTTCCTCATAATTTCCTCAGGCATCCTAACTAAAACCGCCTCAGCGCAACCGGTGTCCCTTTTCTAAACCTCTCGGTATTTCATCAGCAGCCCGTTCGAGGGGTTATCTATGGCTAGTTTCAGCTCTCTACCCCTACGTTCCTACAAGGTATTAATCTAATTAATAGATCTTCGCCGCTGCCCCTGAGCCCTCCCGGAGGAGGAATTTGTCTTAGTCGTAATATGTCTTGCAAGGTTCATAAATTAGAGACCGAATGCCTGGTTATGAGCTAACTTTTTCTGTTCGAGCATCAGTTAGGGATGGTTTTAGAGTTTGTCACGAGCTCGATAGCTACTAACATTTATACAGCAAAACAACAGAAATCTTTTTCGGTATTCGGTCTATATAAGAACCCACCGATCAGAGTTTTGTGGTTTGAGTGATTCCAAAGAAAACCAAACCAATCTCTTTCCAGTAAAGCTTTGACTATACGTTCAAAATTCCAACATGATTAGAAATGTTGTAGGGAATCACCCCATCCTCCTTACTACAAATCAGCGTCCTAAAATCAAAGTGACACACCTGCCCCCAAAGAAGCAAAGACAGCTGAAATGGAGTTGAAAGATATTGCTTATGAGAACACAATATTTTAACCCATTAAGTGGCGTGGTGGATGTAGGTCAGACCCTACCATCCTTCATCCCTTTTTTTGGTTCAGATATTTCGCTTTGAACTATCAACAGTTAGTTGGCAGGACAGCTGTCACGCTAGCTCCTCCTGCCACTGCTGAAGCCTTTGAAACTCAACTTTTCTATTACCGCAATTTGCATATTATTCCTCTTCGCTTCTTCTCTGCTGCACCGCAACTTTTGTGCCAAAAATAATTGCAAAGTTTTGTTAGCCGCGGCTGTCACTTAGTTAAGCTCGTCGTCGTGATCGTTAGTTGATGACACCATCAGCGAAGTGCTCTGCCAAAAAAAAAAAAAAAAAAAAAAAAAATACAACAAGAGCAAGGAAAAGAAAACAAACCATTACAACTCTGATACCTTCATTACCCTTTTGGAGTTTCGGCTTTGCTGTTGTTTTTGTTGTTGTTTAGTATATTTTGCTTTCTCGTTTGGCTCTTGTCATCGTCTATTTGCACAAATGTCATTTCTGTCAGCCGTCAACGTTAATGCCAGCTTATGATATTCGACATTTCGCTAACGATGAGCGAGCGGCGGGGAGCGTCTCACTCAGCATAACCGAAAAAAGAACCAACGAACGAACGGTAAAAAATGCAATGTGTTTATAGCCTCTTTTCGCGTGTTGTTTTTGTTTGCATACCGCTTTTTTTTAATATTTTTTTGTGGGTTTTTAGCTTTAGAAGCGCTAACACTTTCTGCTTTTCTGCGCTCGTTTTTTCTTTTATCCTTTTTTGCCTCGGCCGCGTCTGCATTGTTTGTGTTTACTGTCTAAATATTTGCGCGTTTGACATGAATGTCCGAGGGAGGAGAAAACGCTGGAAACGAGTATGACACAAAGACGCCGTGCTAGCGGCGGAGTCGGCTTTTGGTAAAGGCTTCATCAACTCGCAGACACGGCGGCGGCAAAAGCGAGCGGCAAACAAATGAACTCACTTCGATTATTTCGTGCTCAGACAGTACACACATATACTCGTATTGAGCTGTTGAAAGGTTTTTGCTTTGCTGATAAAAGAATATGTCGTGCCTTTCGTCAATTCCGAAATAAAGTTAAAGTGACAAAAATATCTAAATATTTACGTAAATTTACCTTTTTTATGGCTCCCAATAAGGTAATGAATTTATTTGTTCATTTTTTTGGGTTTTGTGAAGGGTGTGAGGGCTCTTTGAATACAACAATGTACATATGTAGGTGTTATACGAGCTTTAGTAAGAATACGAGGGCAGTTCGATAAGTCCTGGGCTGGGAGCTTTTGATGGCATTTCTTCACTATCAATTTCAAGAACGATGAAAGGAGCTCATATTTAACAAAACCAGTACCAAATTTGAAAGGCAGTTGAGAAGCACTAGGCAAAATTTATCAAGGTTATACTCTTCCTGAGCCTTAAAATAGCCTTCGACGACGCGAAAAAGAGCTACTTAAACGCCGACGTCTCTGAGTTTGTTATATCCCCAAATCTTTACAGCTGTAATACAAGAGGCCAGCAATGGAAAGTACTTATCATAGCCGTTTGATTCTGAACAAGGACAAAGTAAAAATCTCTTTCCATCAAACAAATAGTCAGCGGGATTGTGCCTGGATCCCATGTCAATCTCGAGATTCACAACTTTGCAGGCGTAGACAAGTTTTTCTATCTACGAACCAGCATAAATATCAGTAGGCATCTCAACGAGGAATTCTAACGCAGAATCAGGTGGAACTTTGGACCGAATAGGCAACTGAAAGGTAAATAAATTTTCCGACTTTCAAAGCCTGAACACTACAATGATCTTATCATTACTCCAAACCCATAAATCATGAAGAGAAAGAGTTTGCGAAAGCTCTCACCCATGGGTAGAAGCGAATACTGCAGGCGGTGGTATGAACCAAAAGACAGCGGATGCGGCTAAATTACGTTGCTTGGATGAATGAGACCGCTGCAGCTATGAAAATTTTCAGTGCGGTATTCGCTTGAGGGGTTAAGATCGACCTCCACTGTCTTGGAAGCATGCGGGAAGAAGGGCACATTTATTTTTTTATAAGTTACTAATTTATCAAACTCCCCTTGCTTACGAAATTCTTCTTCGTAGATATATTTTTAGCGCTCACAATGCCATAAATACTTCGAAAACACCTGGCGATAATGTTTTGAGTGTTCATTAAGAGATAAGCGGTTAAGTTATTAGTGGAAACGGCAAAGACCATGAGAGAGCATTTCGAAGGAAATTTATCTTGACGGTCGGATAAAATTTCAAATAATAACAAAATTCTCAAATTTTATATGAACTTTTTTTACCCTCAAATCAAACATTTTTAGAAGTCTAAGAAAAAGTGTCCAGGAGATATACAGTTTAAGATAAAGAGAGAGTGCCTAATCACAGACTTTAAGCGTCACTGCTCTTAAACTATTTGGAAATTCTACAAATAACAAAAAGGAAAACCAAATTAACCACTTA